AACGTTTTACAGTTGAATGATTTGACTCCGCCTTTGCAGGATTGGAGTCAGTGGCCCGTGATTGGATTCTCCAAAAACGTACTCTTGAGTAACGTTTTACACCTAAAACGTTACTCACAGTTACGTTTATGCATTTAACGTCGCCAACCCGTTAACTCTTTGTCCGTTGAATTTTTATAATGAAAATATTCTAAAACGTTACCATAAAATACGTTTATACTAGTTTTGTGAAAAAAGTTAAAAACGTTTATTTTGGTGAATTGGTTTTAAAAATAGCTCATTTTGATCAACAGATACGTGTACACATCAGATATATAAATAAACAACTCAACTATAAGTATAGGTTATGTACATGCTCAGATACATGACATATGCATAGTAAAATCAGCAAATACACGAACACAAATATATATAAGTTATAACGTGTATATCTCTAATACATTCTCAAATACATCATTGTTACAACTCATATACAAAGTGGATACACCACAAAATATACCAGATACATTTCCCAGATTACGTAACTTAGTAAAAGACGTTATTTTAAGCTTTCTTGATTGTTTATGTTAATTTTTTGAATAATTTTTTTTTTTTTTGTAACGCTCTGATTTTTATTCAAATATTGGGGCGGGGGGTTAAGTGCGTAGATACATGTGGACTCTATCTTCAAATTTGATAAAATCATTAAATACTGGTATGAAGGAAGAATGTTTTCTCGAAAAGCATTTAACTGGATTTTTTTTATTTTAGTTTGTGAATAAATTTTTTTTTCAGAATTCCTTTTAGTATTTCATTTGTGAATTAAAAACATTTTTAATCGAATATTTTTTTACTAGAGAGTAGAAAATAATTTTTGATCTGATAAACTATCTCAACAATCAATTTAGGACATGACCTCGATAAGTGAACTAGGACATAATCCCGACGACACATCTGAAATTCAACCCAGGACAAAATCATGACTTTCTATTCGAGACCCGACATACAAATTGAGACTAAATATCCGATCTAGGACCTGATCCCAACACCCGTATTTGAACATGATCCATCAATATAATTTCGACTTCGATACTTGAATCAAGACCTAATTTACGAATCAGGATCGAACCCCTACAACCAACAATAGATGCGAGACTAAAGATTCAACTTTCAAATCATAATTTCGACCCCAACTTTTGAACAGGGCCAACCACACAACACTCGAAACCTAACTTTCATATTGAAATTTATTTTATTTTCTTTTTAAATAATCTTAAATTTCTTTATGTGTGAGACAACTGAAAATATTTTCAGAAAATAAACTTTAATTTTTTCTTGGGGTGGGGGAATAATAGGAAAAAACAAAAATTTAAAACTTGAAAATATTTTTAAAAATAAACTTTTAAATCATAGTTTTCAAGGGGGGTGGGGTGGTAGGGGTAGAGGTGAGGTAGGGCAGGGTAGAAGGATAAAATATTTTATTTTTAAAAAAATTAATTATTTATTTATTGGGAGGAGTGGTAGTTGGAATAGGTGTGGGCTAAAGAAGATGAAAATTTAATTATTTTTGTTCAAAAATAAATTTTTAATTTTTTGTGGGAAGCGGGGTAGGGGTAGTCAGTGTTGAGCGGGGTAAAAGAATTGAAAATATTTAAAATTAAATTGTTTTCAAAAATAAAATTATAAGTTGTTATTTTTTTTTTTGTTGGGGAGAGGGCTACTTTGGGTGAAGGGACAGAAGTAGGAATAAAATAATTTTTTTTTTGAATGGGGAGGGTCGGGGCACGAAGAGAGGTTAGAAAAAAAATTATAATTTAAAAAATAAATTAATAGGAAATATTTTTTAAAATATTTAATTCAATTAAATATTTTCTAAAATGAAAAGTTAAATGAATAAAGTAAAAATATTTGTAGAAAATAAGAAAGAAAAAGTCTAATATAAATTTATTTTTAGAGAAAAGTTTAGATAGATTAGAACCAAAAGAGCATTGTAGTCTTTAATCCTAATCGTGCCAATACAAGACAAAAAGGTGTCACTGCCAAATAGCAACACTGTATAGAGTAAAATAATCAAAAAAAATTAATAATTAATCTTCCAAAGAGAGAGAAACACAACAATAATCGAAGATGTAATTACAAAAAAGGATCCGGAAGATTGTTAGGGTGTTTAATCGAATATTTTGTGAAAAAAATACACATTACACAACAAAACATATAAGACAGTTTTTATTTTAATTTCTCTCATATTTATATATATAATATAAATTTAGAGTTTTGTACGTATAAGATTATATATTGACTTACTGATTTCGGAACAAAACTTTACCTTCAAATTCAAACTTTATATATGATACTCCAGTGCTTCATTTGTTTAAAAATGATTATCTAATTTGATTTGGAACGAAGTATAAGAAAAGAAAAATAATGTTTTTAATTTTGTGATTTTAAATAAAGTTATATAAAATGTACCAAAATTCTCTTTAATCTAATGGTTTTAAACAAGTGACGTGAAAAGCTTTTTTTAAAAAAATCATTCTTTTTTAAACAAATTAAAAAAAATAAAGACATCCTTTTTAAAACAAACGAAGTAATATTTTTTTAAATATTTTAACGAAAACTCTAGATCTATAATTCATTGGGGATAATTAATAATGTACTCTCTACCACGTGCACAGTCACATCAAATCAAATTAAAAAAACACATTAAAGTCTAGATAACAGATCATCCACTGCTCAATAATGGCTACATGTTTTTTCCAAAAATTGCTCTTTGTCAATTTGTGTCCACTTCTTCAGAAAACATAAAAAAAAAAAAAAATACATTTTAAAAAGTTTCTTCTGGGAATATTACAAATATAAAGTTCTTTGCCAAAATATGTATATTTTTTTTTTATAAAAAAAAAACTCAAAATCTACTCTGTAACCTTATAGCCATTGACTCAAAACAGAATCATCACTTTGAATATTCTACTACCCATCAACTAACGAACTAATCATATTCCTATTATGCGATATAATTTAATATAATTATAATTTTAAAATAATTTAAAAATAGTTATTTTATTGTAAATTGTTTTATTAAAAATAAAATAAATTAAATATTAATTTTTTTTGAATAAATTAAAAAATGAATAATATAAATTGAGCTAGAGATATAATAGAGTATAATTATATTTCGATTTCACGATGGCATGTCAGGATTCTGACAAGTGCCAACTGGAACATAATTCTATTAAATTGCTGTCAAACATGTGCATTATAATTGGTCATTGGTTACTATATTAAAATTAAAAAAATTATTTTCTTTTCCTATATTTTTTTTAATTAAAAAAATTCAGTTTTGATTGAATTAAAACAATAGAATCAATGATTTCATTATTTTTCACCAGCAAACAATTGTTTTTTTTTACTACTAATAAAAATGTTTCATTTCCATCTTTATTGCCTTCTTAATAAATTAAATAAGAATTAACTAACAAGGATGCTAGGCACGAAGAAAAATAAATATTTTTAATTTATTTTAAATATATAATCTAGTAAACTTTACGAGGATGAAATGGACCAGGAGTGAGAGTTCAAGCTCATAGGTTGAGCTGCATATATAGGGGAATACAAAATCGAATTGAATCGTAAATTAAGAAAAATTTTGACTATTAGCTTGAATTTTGGTGTGACTTGATTTGATATTGAAAAAAAATTCTACTATATTTGGGTTGATTTGGTTTTAACTAAAAAACAACTTGAGATTATATTGATAATTTTAAAAATTTATTTTATACATAGAAATATTTACTTTAATATAATTTTTAAATATTTCTTATAATTTTCACAGTTTTTATCTTTTAATATATTATTTTAAGTTTGAAACTTAAAATAATGATTCAACAAAGATATAGTCCATAGATGTTAGTAATTATAATAAAGCTTAAATCAAAATCAAATTAATATTAGTGCAAAAAAGAAAATTTATTTTAAAAAAATGACAATAGTATTTAATATTTATTATTTAGTTTTACATTGGTTTAGACGATTAAAATACATAATCCAATTTTAATTTCTTTTAATATTTAGTTATATAACTAATACTTACTAAACTTATTTTAGCGTGATTTAATACTTTCGAATTATGATCATTTTCATTATGACTTACTAATTTGCAATATTTGTTTAACGCGAATTCATTATTATTTTTTGTTGTTGGATATTTTAGTGTCGTTAATCATTTCATATTTTGTGTTATTTTTCTTAAGAAACAGCTTAAATAGTTGTATTTTGGTAGTACTAAAAAAGTATTTAAAGTACAAGTTAATAATATGTTTATATGAAAACTTTAGCGAAAAAACTCAAATATCTGAAAAACCTAAAAAATTTCGAAAAAACTTGAGGTTGAAAAACTCAAGTTTCATTGATTTAGTTTATAAATTTTAAAATCCGACATAAATAATTTGATTTGATATTTAAAAACCCAAATCAAACTGACCATGTGCACGCCTAACTGGATGTGAGTAGGAAGGAACAAGATACTAAGTAATAAACTTGGAATGTCATTTATATAACTTATGTTTTATGTTGCCATAACAATATTTTCCTGACTTTCAAGTAAACTTATTCTCTCTATTTCATATTAATCGAATTTGTGGGCAATATACTCTTATTAAAATAAAAATCATTCAAAAACATAATTTAAATCATATTTTTGGTTATAAAATTTAATTTATGTCCTAAATAATTTGATTATAGCAAAAGGATAAATAATTTGAAACATCCATCTTCGAAGACTTCAACTATAAACATTTCTATAACTGAACAATGAAATAATTTAAAAACTAATATAAAAGGGAGAGAGAGACTATTTTGTAAGAAATATTATGCAAAAGAATACACCCTTTTTAAGTCTTGGATTGAGCAGAAAAGAAGACTTTTTTCATCAGTTTTTCAAGAATATTTAGTGTGAAGTGATTAGCATTCTCTTTGATAATCTTAATGAGTAAGTGTTCCTCTACAACCCAACAAAGGAATGAAGCTTCTTTTATCAAAAACTGCACACTATCTTGGTGTTTTTTTTTTCTAGCTTCCCTCCATTTTCATCCATAAGAAAACCAATTATTGATGATAATAATCTCCAACTTTGAATGAGTTTTTTCAATCTATAAGACGAAAATGATAAAGTTGCTTTCTTGGTAATTACATGTTGGACACCTGGTAGTTGAGTATTCACTTTCTTTAATGATTGAATCGCCAAAAGGATTAGTCTTTTTGGTATCTTCTGTTATGTGGGGTTTTCCTTTTATGCAACTTCTTAAACATATTTGTTGTTTGTAGTGTTCCTGGTGTGCTCTATTTGATAATATGATGTATTTTGTGAGTTTCCTGTAGATGTTGTTATAATTACTATTCTTTTTGAAGTTTGTGCTGATTTTATACAATGCGATGCTGTTGACTGTTTGGTTGTGTTTCTTTCTTCTTTCTAATTGGTTGTTGCAGAGGGTAGATTAGCTTTTAACATTGCTTGTGGTGTAGTTTGGAAAGTTTTAGCTTTAAATCAAGATTTGTTTTTTCATTGTGGGGTTGCTGAATTTTGGTGAATGGAAGTGTTCTGCATTTTGGGGTTGCTGATATTTTCTCATTTCTTAGCAGGTTTTGATGCACAGGATTGTTTATGAATTCTTTGGTTGCTGAATTTGCAAGTTTTTTATGTTAGTTGCTGAATCTGGAGTTTAGTTGAATTTGAGTTCTCTTACAGTTGTTTGCGAAGCTTGAAATTTTAGAAGAGTAGGTGTTCAGTTTGGTGAATTTAAGTGGTTTTGGAGTTCATCATTTGAAATGGATAGTAGTGGGCTTAATGGAAATCAGAGTACAAGGGATTCAGAAGTACCGAACAATGCTGATGAACGGTGTGATGCTACCTTTTCCGATGAATTAGATGGCTGGAGAACAAGTTCTTCATCACTTAAGGACATTAGGTCTTCAGATGAGCATACTGATGAGTGTTTGACTCCAGAAATGAAATACGAGAGCACACATCGGAGTTCTAGTCCTCCGCCTCAAGCTCGGAGAGGTTAGTGCTTCATCTTCCTAAGCTTTTCTCTGTTGATAAATAATGAATTTGAGAAAACCTGCTACAGATTCTTCCTTGTGCATTTAGTTTAGTCTTCTCTCAATAAATTTAGAATAAGAGTCATGATCTTGGCAAAATGTTATATTGACAAGGATGTAAATGATAGTTAGAGGGGAGAAGTATGAGCGAGTGCCAAGTTACTGGGATAGTAGGACTTCAGAATGATCCTGTGGTTTTTTCTAAAAAAAAACTTTTTTGCTTTTTGTTTCATAATGCTGTTCACTAGGGTGTAATTTGTCTTTGTGGGACGAGTATACTAATAAGTATAATTCTTCTTTGATTGATAGTAAAACTATTTCTTGTGTTGTATCTTTATTCTATTTAATATAAAGTGAATCATGTATGTGTTTTTGTTCTATGTTGGATGACAAAATGGTCTAGGAAACTATCTTATTTATGATGTTAAGCATCATTGTTGTCCTCTGGCTAACAGTTTGATGAATGGAACTATTATTTTCTGTCCCACCAAACGGGCTGGTTCCTTTTCCTTTATTATTCTCTCTCATTACTACTTGTCATCTATGAAATCAATCTAGAAGGAGTTCAAATAATCCTATCTAGATCGACATGTAAGCTTAGTTGTGAATTTCAGACTATTAAGGCTTGTCCTATATTACTCAGCAAGCATTATAGAAAAGATGAGAGTAACTTTTCCTGTCATAGACCTGTATAAATAAATAAAAGTGTTCTGGCTCTAAGTTTTAAGTATATAACTGTGCCTCATCTTACAACTCTGTTCTAAAAGGAGGGTTCATTGACATTTTTCATCTCAAGGTCAAATTATGCCCTTGTCATCCTTTTCTGTCTCTGGAATTCCTTGAGCTAATACACCTCTGTACAGCTATCTGTCGAAAGTCTTGCTTCCTTATAATTGACCATCTGGTTGTTGATTTTGGTTCAAGTTACTTTAAGGGTCACATATTCTATGAAGAGACTGAACTTTTTTTGGGGCTGCAGTGTCTTGCTCGAGTTTCATGAGCTAAATTATATTCACCTGCTTGTTTGGTCCAAATGTGAAGAATTCTTTCCAGTGCTCTATATTCCAAGTTTCACCGCTACCCCTACAAAGGAAAACCAATGCATCAACGAAATTAATGACAAGCAAAACTAACATCATTTGTGGAGGACAGGGTTTGACAGACAACGATGTCAAACCAAGTTACTAAAAGATGGAACCTTGATTTAAAACCAAACATGAAAAATATCAAATACCCAAAAGTCTCCAGAGAACTAACTTTAACTGCTCCGTCTCCTTACAAGAGAAAAATGCTTTTGCTCACGGTTTCTTCTATGCTTCCCTCAAAGCTAAGGTACATTATAGACTTCCTCCTTTGTCACTTCTCACATCAGCTCCACTTTCCTCCCTCCAAAGCAAAAGCTATCTCCTGTATCACATTTAGGATATTCTGCCAGTATGCCGTATTGCTGACAATGATTTCATGTATAGAGTGGCAAAATACTCATGAATTAAACTTGGGAACCTCTTAGCATTGTCTTTCTGAAAATTTAGTAGTAAGAAAATATTGATTTGGTCTTCTATAAGCAATTGAAGCAAATCGTTGCTGCATATGATTCTTTGTTTTTTCTTTTCTTTGCTTTTTCTCTTCTCTTTTGCGTACTTGCTTCAGAAGGGCTTAGACATTTATATCTATGTTGATTGGATAAAGCTGACTATTGTGGTTTACTGGATTAGATGTATTTCTTTCTCATACAGGACTTTTGCATTTTTTTTTTTTTTTTGTTTAACTTGTAGGTTTGGAGCACTGCATTACTGCACCTGTGACTATTGGCGGAGGTCTTTTCCCTGAAGGCCAGGATATGGCATTTTCAAGATCTTTGACTGAGAGGAGGGTTAGTCCAAGACATAATGTAATATTGGATAGACTTTCTGAACGTGGAAAGGTAATTTTGTTATTGACGTCTCCAGCTTTGAGATGCCTATTATCCGACAACCAATTGTGTAGTGCTTTGCTGTGAGATTCTATAATAGTCAACATGGCGTAGGAGTTGAATAGATTTACTAGTCTTGGTTACGATATGCATGTAAATGTGTCAAAAGTTGTTGCAATTTGTTAGAGTTTAATATTTTGTCCTTGACACTAGTTTTGGCTTGAATTTGTTTGATTTGATTGTAAACTTGAAGCATGGAAAGATCCTTTAATGTTGGAGAGTGATAAGGAGTAGAAAAGCTGATATGGGAAGTGCTAAGTGCATGAATAACGAGACTGCTTGTTATCTGAATAAATATGATTTACCTGAACCAATAAAACTTAAAAGAATCCTAGAATGCTGAGCATTATTTTTTCAAATGATGCTTAGACCATGTGAAGCTGGCAATTTGTATTGACCAAGTACTTATTTAGACTTACTGATACAAAATTTACTTTGACCATTTGGTTTTTGAGCTATTTTTTTGCTTTTAACTGATGGAGTTGATATGTATGTTGTAGGGCTCCGCTGAGTCAAGTTGCTATTTAATAAGTGGCTGAAACAAAACCACCCTCTTTAACAAAGTCAATTTTTTCTGCACATAATCACATGTATCCGGCCTGAATCACCGCTTCATACATTAGGTTGTCCATGCCTGTATATGTAAAAATAGCAGCTAATCAAACAGGTTAAGAATTCTTGCTATTTGCCTATGTAAGTATGGATTATGGAGACCCAGGACTGCCCCTCTGCAGCGTCTGAAAGAACCACCACAAATTACTTACATGTGTTTTTTTACTTTATCCATCTGGAAAATGATATACCTTTTCATTTTCTTGCCATTAAGTTGCTGAATCCTTCTTATTCACTTACCATTTCCTCATATTTCCTTCTGTTCTTAATGTCACCAGCAAAAGCTCATCGCAGAGCTGGTAAAGATCCAAGGGGATGGAACAGTAGAGGTTGACCTTACTAAGAGTACGCCTGAAACTTCTGAATTGTTGGAGCTGCGATCTGTTGAAGAACCCACTCTTACTGTAGACAGGATTATCACAGATTTTAATAAGTCAGTTCCAAAGTTGAAAATCGTGGTGCTTATTGTTGGAACCAGGGGAGATGTTCAACCATTTTTGGCTATGGCCAAGAGACTTCAGGCATGTTGGGAGTTCTAAATCACCATGTTTATAGCTGTACTGGTCATACATGTTCTATATCGTTTTCTTCTTAACCATCTGTGCTTGCCTTTATTATTATATCATTGCATTCTATGTTTTTCAGCATCCTTTACAGAATAACCCAAATTTCGGCTTTGAATGACAATTCGTTGGAGAGGTCTGTTAGATGGACTTCTAAGTTCTATTTTACTAGACTTAGTTTCTCCACTTTTCAAGTCTTCTTAGTCACCAACTTTTAAAATTGATTGTTGAGATGCTGTAAGGTAAAAGGATTAGATTGTGTCCCTTGGACCTGGGTAAACCAATTGAGATTTCATTTGAGAATATATTGACGGAGAGAATTTTTAGAGGTGAATTTGGACCTATATGGTTGAAGCAAGTATCAAAAACAAAGGTCACTTGGACCTTGCAATTACTTTGCGCAAGGAAAATTTTGTCTGCTTCAGAGCTGAGGTCTTTTGCTGCTTGACTGGCAAAACATTCTTAATATGCTCTTTACAGTGTGGGTACCATTGGATTTAATTTCTTTTCCTGTCTAAGGTTGGTTTAGCTTTATTTCTTGCTGTTGCCTCTTCTGGAGCACGATTATTTATTTGCCTATTATTTAATTTTCTCATCATTTTTGTGGCCAATATTGGACATTCATGTGAAATAATTGATTATATTTCAACTATAGATTTTGTGTTTCCATATTTCGTGTAGTAGAATTTTGTTGATGTTTGTGCACCTTAATATCTTTGTATTTTGGTTGAGAAAATTGTTCATTTGTAGAGTAAATCGTTCGTTCCTTTTCTAATCAGTTTTATGCATTGACAGGCGTTTGGTCATCATGTCAGGCTGGCAACTCATTCTAACTTCCGTGATTTTGTCAAATCAGGAGGCATAGACTACTACCCATTGGGTGGTGATCCTCGGGTATTGGCAGGATGTAAGAGGTCTTTGGCATGCTTCTTCGTTTTTCTCGTTCTTGTTTTTGTCTATGTTATGAGTACTCTGCTATGGGTATGTATTAGCCCTTTCTTTCTGGGTGGGTAAGTATCTGGTATGAGTAAACATAGTTTTCTGCAATTTTGGGGTGTGCTTCAAAGAATCCACATAAAGTTCTCACATGTGTTCCACACACGCCCTCCCCCCACATCCCTTGCACGCCCAAGACTAGACGAAGCATGGATATCATAACATAGTGCCCTACATTAGGTAACACAATAATGATGATGGGAGTGGCTCTAATTAGTGTTATCAAAAGCAAAAAGCGCAAAAAATCTCTAAGATCTGTTGGGCATTTAAGCGCAACTAACGTGTGGGCTTTAATGAAAAAAAGAGCAAAGGGAGAAAAAATGCAAAGCTATGTTTAGTCCAAGATTAATAATTATAAGCACGAAGGAATGACAAATATATGAAGAAAGAAACTGAAAAAAATAATATGATAAAGTAAAATATCAATTTTTTAGTGCCGCCTCTTCTAAAGAGGCTCATTGGCAAGAAAATGTATGTCATATAACCTTGACGAGGAAACAAAATCGCACCTTAAATAAGTCGAAACACTTTTTGAGCCTCGCATCAGGGCGCCTTTGACAACTCTGGCGCTAATACCAAGCTAAGAAGATGGGTTTAGGCCTAAGTCAATCTCAAAAGTTGGTTCATGCGGTAAGGGTTGCCCAAATCACTAGGAGACTATAGCCACACTTTCAACCAATGGTGAACACTAACATAATCCTATGAGCAATCGTGGTAATATCAAGCTTCTACTTTTTTCCTTTTAGTTAACTTACGCACAGTTTGAAAATTTTTCTTAAATTTTTGGGAAGTTTTCAACATACTTAACAGTCAAATTTGTACTGGAATCTAGTATGAAATAAGTGGCTCATCACATACCTGTTCAAGTAGTAATATGGAATTCCTGTTTGCTGATATCATTTAATATGGATTAAGTTCGTATGTTCTGTGGAATTGCAGATATGGCCAGGAACAAAGGTCTCATTCCTTCTGGACCAGGAGAGATATCTGTACAACGAAAGCAGCTAAAGGCTATAATTGAATCTCTTCTTCCGGCTTGCACTGAGCCAGATATTGAAACTGGTGAACCTTTCAGAGCACAAGCGATTATTGCAAATCCTCCTGCTTATGGTGAGTTCGAAAATAATCTCTATACTCACCACTCATTTCACCTTTTTGATATCTGGACATCTAATTCATGTTTGGTCCATGATTTATAATATCACATGGAGTTGTACATCACTGCTAGTTCTCCAAAAGATACATTTCTGTCTTCTCTTGTTTTTCTTTTTGGGGTGGGGGTGGCGGGTGGTGGTGGTCATATTTTGCCATCATAGAGAACATATGTTTGACTAAATTAGAAAGATATATGTGAGATACTATAAGTAGAGGAGCTACTATATTCTGAGATGGTCTCTTAGTCGCATTGTGGAATTTATCTTAGAAAGGATTAACATGAAGTCAACAAATATGAATTAAATGAACATATTAGTGTGTATGAAGTGAGGATGGGTCACTATGACCTCCGGACACAAGAATCTCAAAGATAACCTTGAAATCATACTCAGGTTAGAATCGTTTGAAATGTCTTTGGCCAAATAACTCTGTTTATTTACTATGAGTTTAATCTCATTTGACTCTTCTAATGTGGAGACCAGAAGCTATCTAGTTTTGACCTTGGGAGGAGTTAAGTCTGAAAAGTTACTCCACCGCCTTAGCTGGGTTTGACTGTTCATATGTTACATATTTAATCTCACACTATCTTCACAGTGCTCCTCTGCTTCTTTTCAATTAGAGTAGACCTATGTCAAGAAGTTGAGTTATTAGCCTATAAAGAAATCCACCTGATTGTATTTTCTGTATCAAATTCACGAGCAGTGTTAATCTGCTTCGAATAAGTACAAGCCCTTCCAAACTGAAAAACTTATTTTGGGAGGTCATTAGCTGAATCTATGGAGGTGTGTATTCTGCACAGCTTTGGCAAGTTGCAAACCGGTTTGGGTTTACTAAACAAAGAGCTTAGAAGGAAGAAGACTTAATCTTGAGCTTGTGCTCTGTAAATAAATGTCGAATAAAATATAAACTGCTTTATATGGTTTTCCTCAATGGTCCCCAAAACAATATTCATTTTTATGCTTTCCGGGACTTTATAGACTCCTTGTATCATAGATAATTCTAGTCCATCAATTGTACAGATATCAGCAACCTCTTGCTGCTATTTTTGTTAACAACATTTATCAGGATTAGTCAACACAACAGGATGCGATTTAGTCCAAGTCAACTTATAAGCATTGTTTTATTTTTTTGGACAGGACATGCACACGTTGCTGAAGCTCTTGGGGTACCCCTCCACATCTTCTTCACAATGCCCTGGACGTAAGCTCTGATTGACACTTTAACTTTATTTTATTGGATATTTCGTATTAACAATATGACAAGTGGATGCACCTGCAATTGCTGTCTTTGTCAATATGCGACCTTGTAAAGTCCATTCCTCTTATAAAACATTGATGAAACAAAATACTGCTATCTGATTTCTATTTTCTTTTCTACAAAAGTTTCCTCTTTGAGAAAAGCCAATTTGTAATAGGTGGTTGTTCTTCACTATGTGAATGTTTTTTAGATTTGATATTGACTAGACCATTATAAGGTGGCATTTGATACCTTACTCGGCCTTGTGGTTAAGATCAAGTGTAGTTTCTGTTCTCACCAGCTTTAACATCTGATACATGGACACTGGCCCACATTATATCAACCATTGGCGTTTCATTTAAAAAATTGAGAAACAGTTTTTGCAAAATTCTTCTAGTTACAACAACCATACGAAAGAAACGTATGAGTTTTGCTACTTTATTTAGATGGAGTTTTGGTTGAAACACAATTTTTGAAATTCCTCAAACTTTTCTTAGGTGGAGCTGCATCGGACACAATTTTTGCTGAAACTTGAAAAACTTTTTGCAGAAACTGCTATTTAATATTTCAATTGAACGCCTTAGTCTGTGACATACAAAGATTAGATGCAAGTGCCCAATTTCTGGAGTAGTTGGTTCTTCTGAATTAGGAAGTTTTATAGATCAATTGGAAGAACTATTATGCACATAGGATATTATGCGAGTCAGTTGCTGAGTTCAGTGTCATTCTTCATTAAATTCTCCCATTTAATATTTTCAACAAGGTACCTTCTCATAGACTTTGTTAATAGACAGGCCAACTTCTGAATTTCCTCACCCGATGGCTCGTGTACCTCAACCTGCTGCGTATTGGGTATGTTATCAGTTTCTTCTTTTGAAAAATATTTTTCCAGTAATTCTTCTGATTCCTGTTAAAACTCTATTTGTCTTCTGCACATTTCAGCTTTCCTACATACTCGTGGATTTACTTGTCTGGTGGGGCATAAGAGGCTACATCAACGATTTTAGGAAAAAGAAGTTAAACCTTCCTCCTATCGCCTACTTCAGTACATACCACGGATCAATTTCTCACTTCCCAACTGGCTACATGTGGAGTCCACATGTTGTGCCAAAGCCTAAAGGTATATGTCAGCTCCTCAATGGTATCTGGATGCTTGTTTTCGTCGTATTGGTCATTCCACTTCTTTTGTTGAAGCAAAACTAATGATTTGTAAATCTCAAAATGAACGGATCAGTTTCTTGTGGAGTATTTCTGTGCTAGTCTCTCTTTCTTCATTCCCATTAATCCCCTTCCCCATCCCTGAATTCATGTAAAGATCTTTTCTTCTTTTTCTAGCTCTACTTCACCCATTGGCTTAGTAATGATGTGTGCTCATACAATCAGTCCACTTGATCTATCATAAAAATATTGAAGCATTCGTTTTTTGCAGATTGGGGCTCTTTGGTTGATATTGTTGGCTATTGTTTCTTAAACCTTGGGAGAAACTACCAACCTCCTGAAGAATTTATCAAGTGGATCCAAAATGGGCCTAAACCTGTATATATTGGGTTTGGGAGCATGGTAAGGTTTTCTAATATAAACTCCCAGAAGTCTTAGAAGTATCAGATGATCCTTTATCCCACTCAGCCACTCTTGCAAGATATATCGAGTCTGATGTCTTATAATTTAAAAGCAACTTATGACTAGGTTTACTACTGTAGGTGGAATTCTTAGTTTACTACCGACAGTCTAGTGACAGTATCCGTTTCTGAATGATTTAATTCGTACTTGATAAACTTGCAATAGTGGATGTAAACCAGCTTCAATCAATCTAACTGCATTTTCGTCTCACACAATTTTAATTGTTAAATAGATCTCTAAGGTGCCTGTGCTCAAGATCTTAGCAGTCTGATCTAGAATAATCACTTTGGTCTCCTACTTCACTTTTGTTTTTGAAGATATCCAACTTGTTCATTCCTTTTGTTCTTTTTTTTAGCCTCTTGAAGATACCATTAAAACTACAGATATAATTTTGGAGGCACTAAGGAATACTGGGCAGAGGGGAATTCTTGACCGAGGTTGGGGAGATCTTGGTACTTGTAAGTTCTCTCATGATTTGCATTTCTTTTTTCAACTTATTACATTCTGCATGTTTCTGACTGACCATAAAATTGATCATATATAGGTTGCAAAATAAAGCTAATTTTTTTGAAGAAACAAAAAGATATAGGCACAACTCTCGTAATTTATTGCATATAGCATATTGAAGCTCTAGTGCTCTACTGTGCGTTCACTGGAAGGGTTAAGACCTGGATGAACCTCAAAAACACCACAAGAAGAACCTTGGAGGGGATGGTTTATTAAATAAAATTCTCTTTTAAGTTATTTAGCTGACATAATAAGTCTCCCCCTTTGACCTTCCTCTAACCCCGAACATACAACCGAAAAACCAGTTTCCAAGGCCAATTACTTGCTTGACAAAATATGAGGCCTATGATGGTGGTATGGAGTTGGGGTTACAACAACATAAACATTAAGTGGATAGATCAAGAGAACAGTTTGTTTGTCATTATATTACTGGATGGACGCCACATACACAAGTGCACTTATGTAGTATTGGTAAATAATGTGGATATTTCCGTTCATTTGTGATTGGATTGCATGTGAGAATATTCTAACACCAAGAAACATCTTTTCTTGTTTTTTTACCTCTTATTCTGTACCAGTTCAAGAGATTCCTGAAGATGTTTTTCTTGTTGCGGAGTACCCTCATGATTGGCTTTTTCCTCAATGCGCAGCTGTTGTGAGTACTATTGCTTTACAAATTACTCCTACCTACTCATGTTATATATCTTTTGAATGCTTTTCTGGATAGCAAACTGGGAGATGGGATCGGTTCTGATAAACTGATGGTCAATGGTTGGTTATTAGGGATTTTACAAACTCTAGTATAACTGACCTTCTAAACTCCAATCTTCTCGATATCTGGATATTGAAAAATATTTATTTTCTGATGTGCTCGTGGGAAATACCTGCTTGCAGGTTCATCACGGTGGTGCTGGAACCACAGCTGCGGGACTGCGTGCTGGGGTAATGTTCTTTCTCAATCTCATATCAGTAGTATTATTCTAAAGCAATCATCTTTTGCTGGATCTTTTGCCCTTTGAGTCATATAGAAAGATCAGATGGTCTTATGCAATGTCTGCAATTTTTTAATCCAGTGTCCAACAACTATAGTACCATTCTTCGGTGATCAATTCTTCTGGGGCGATAGAATTCATGAAAAGGGACTGGGACCTGCTCCAATTCCTATTGACAAGCTTAGTGTAGAAGGACTCTCTGATGCTATAACATTTATGCTTCAGCCTGATGTAAGTGTCTATGCATCTCCCTACCTAATGACATACCAATCTGTCACTGCAGAACACAAACGTGTTTTGGAAATGCTCGTTATAGACTTTGCTTGCTGATGGAAACTTAACTTATACAGGTGAAATCCCGAGTAATGGAACTAGCTGTATTATTAGAGAACGAAGATGGTGTTGCAGGTGCAGTTGATGCTTTCCATCGGCATTTGCCTTCAGAAATGCCATTGCCAACCCCAACCCCGGCTTATGAGGATATCGATGGTCCAAATCCGTTACAATGGCTTTTCACAAGGATTGGAAGAATCTGTTGCCTGCCTTGTGGTTCTTGGCTCTGAAACTGCATTTATAGAGTTGCATAGTTGTGTTATTTCATATTTTTTTTTGATTAATTGGTTGTATTGGTTCATCACATCATTCTTTCTTCTTGGCTTGTAAAATAAGTTACATGGCAAAACTTTATAGACATATTTATTGCTATTATTTTCATAGTGATTTTGTAACAACACCAAGCTCTTGTTCATTTTAGTGTTCAATGATCGCTTTGCAGAGACAGAGGTGATTATTTTGTACTTGCGTAAATTTACGTAATTATCTGTACTTTTATCTAAATACGTAATTGCTTATTTTAAGAATTACTTTCCATCCAGCCATTAAGCCAAAAAATCTTTTTTTTTTCAAACAGTCTCAACGTCCTCGTTGAGAGTCGCTCTGCGAGACGTCTAGTTACTCTCCTTAATTACATAAAATCACATAGAAATTAATAAATATGTTTATTAGTAAAGAAATAAACTTCAAGCAGAAAATGCTTGAATTTAAGGTGAAATGGTTGAAGTATAGATAAAACTGACTGAATTCAGTTATATATGATTGTGGTTCAGGCAAAATAACTTAAATTAATATGTACTTAATATTACATAAAAATAAATGAACTTCAACTATATAAAACTTCAAAAATAAAATAAACTTGAAACTATATCAAATTAGGTAGATTTGAAATATGTAATCACTACAAACATTATATTCATTGTAACCACCATCCAAACATAGCATTAGAGTTTAGAGACATCTTTTTTCGATTATTCAGCAAAATATCATTTATTTACTAACTCTGATGATAATCTTATAATATTTTGATGAGAAAAGGGTTAAAACCTCAATTTTAATTTATTAGTTGAATATATCCCTGCCGTTAAAACAAACCCTCGCCGTTACCAATTTTTCACCATTTATACCTCTCAATTGACGGAAATTTCCAAATCAATCAAAATTGATCCGATTTTATAAAAATTAGGAAAAATTAGCAAATTAGTCAAAAAATCTAACATAATTAGTAAAAACCTTTATACTTTATAAAATTTAGTAAAAGTGTCATTATTTTAGAAAACATTTCATATCCTAATAAATTATATTTAATTAATAAACTAAAGTTGAGAGGTATTTTTGACCCTTTTTCCAATTTTGATTCTATGTAAACTAATATTGTGAGGTGCAGCATTAACTCCACATTTGAAACATTAGTCTCGAGGGCCTTTATCTTTGGTCTCAAATACTTGTTTTCCATCAATAAAAACTGTAACTTTGCCTCCATCGTCTACGTCATGAATTAAACTAACATTGTCGTATAGAGCAGTAGCAAAAATATGTCCATTATAATAATAAATAACTCATCATAAATTCTCAATATTATTGTTGTAAGGCTCAATGAATTTGTACAATTGTTGCTCCTGATGTCCCATTTGGCACAACCCTCAAATTTCCTAATCAAGTAGATTTGGATAGATTTTTTTTTATCAAGATTATATATAAATATTTTAAAAATAATAATGTACTATAAATATAAATATGTGAATTCGAATTTTGGTGCGATGCTGAGTAAGGGTATTAGGATCATGAGGCTTGTCATCCGCATAAATTCAGCCCACAGTCAATGAGTTCCATTATCGATACTATAACATTTTTCAAGTGGAATATCATATGATATTGGGTTTTTACTAGGTGTCTGATATTCGTATTAGAGTTCGACTTATTTTAAATTTATATCGAAAAGTCTCATATTGAGAGATAAAGAGCTCTCAAACAAGTGACTATATATGTATCTAGTTAAGAATGAAAGACTCCATCATAACCCTTGTTGGTCCAAATGTTATATTCAATAAAACTATATATGTAGTACGATATATTGGTATCCATTATTCTTGAAATATTGGATAAGTGTCATAAATAAAGTACACATATTTAAAAAAATAAATAGAAATTTATAATCTAATAGGCAAATATTATGAGAGGTCTTATACTTAGTAAATTCACAAATCGAAAGTTCTGTAATGCCAGTTATTCTATCTGTTTTTCATTTTAAATGGATTATAGTTATTTTTTCACATTTTGAACTTTTTGTGTATAGTTAATAATCAAATCAAAACCAAAGTGAAATAAATAACAACCAAACCAATACATATATATTATATTTAATTTAATTTAATTTTAATAATTTTAAAACCGATTAAATTGGTTTGAATCAAATCAAACTTGTGAACACCCCATACTCCCAATTAATTTCTTTCTTTCATCTTTTTATTTTTTATCTTTTTAATAATAGAAAAAAGAGTGTTTCGTTTTATAGCTCTCATTTACATCCACAATATACTTCTTTCATACATCAAACTGAAAATCAACTTGATCAATTTTTGAAATTTAATTAGATTATATTAATTTGATATTTAAAATAATATTTAAATATTTAAAATTATGCTAAAAATTATCCTACAGTACTTTTTTTTTTAATATATCAAATGAATTTTAAACAATTAAAATTTATTTTATTAGACTCTAAAACTATATGACAACTAATAAGAAACGGATATAATTACTCACCTATTTTGGTTTTCATGTTAATACATATACTCCACCATAAATATACTCTGAAAATCTTTTTTTTTTTTTTTTGAAATCTTTAATTTAATAATGCAAGGAAAAGGAAAAGGAAATTGAGAAAGCTAATCAAACTTGTTACGGTCAAGTCGAGAATCCTAGTACTTCACTAGCACCGACCGACCAAAAAGATAAAATGAAGCGGTCGCCGGCGATCTTGAAAAACCGGCGAGGAGGTGGTTTGGGATTTGCTGCAATTGCTTACATCGGAGTAGACTATCTCCGGTTTATTTCTCCGGCATGGCATGACCGGTTACAGCCGACGCTATGGACCATATTGGCGATCGCTGCTATTATTCGGGTTCCATTTTACAAACACTGGTCATCAGAGCTCCGTTCAGCTATACCATTTATTTTCGCTATGCTTTTTTTGCTCTCTGCTCTTCTTTTTGAAGCCATTTCTGTCCGCTCTGTCACTGCCGTTCTTGGTCTTGAATGGAACAGGTATGTATATGCTTTAAAGTAGTGCTCTTTTTTAATTCATAATTTTATTGATTTGTTTCAATTTTTTGAAGTTTTGGCAAATTTGTGTATATTGGGAAATATGGGTTTCAGATTTGGATGGGAAAACTGACTTGGGGTTGAGTGCATTTTTGAGCTTGTTAATGATAAGTTTGAGTTTGTATTGTGAAGAATGGAAATGATAATTTCTTGTTTGCATCCCAAATCTGATCTAATTTGTGGTTTTCTCAATTGCTCTATAGATTTTGTTACATTGTAAAATCTAAGCAGAGTTAGATGCAGAAATTGGATGAACTATTAGAGAGAATTTGGAGCTACATCATTTTTACTCTGAATGATCAGAAATTGTTATTGAGTTACCTTCAAAATCACACATACATACTTTTGAATTTTTTCATTGAAGATTGCATATATCCATTTATGGGAAAAACACAAGGTTTGGATTTCTATACTGGGATTAATTAAAGCTGATAGATCAGACCAAAAAAATTGGTATAGGTCAATCTCACTTATCCTGGAGACAGAATTAAGAGGGATGCATTTTTCTATATGCTTCGGTTTGCTTAAGTTATGTTGCTCCGACTCTCCAAAATGCTGCCGCACCCATGACTGATCTTCCATAAATGCACTACGTTTGGAGGATCCAACATGCATCTCGACAACAATTTTGTGCAGTACATTGGTATGGGTAATCCTTTGTTAGATTTCAAAAGTAATGAAAATCTTAAGTGGATTAGTTTGTGCTCTTGGTATGTCTTGTGTCTGTGAATAATGGTATTTTGCGTATAATTCTTTCTTGTGATTAATTAAATTCTGTACGTGATGCTCATCATAAATTAAATCCTCACATTCTTCTGCCAAGTGATCCAAATAAGACTGGGATCATGGCACTGTTGCTTTTTAGATACATCTTTTGGAAATGACAAAGCATACGTTGTTTAAGTTTTTACCATGTCACCAGATTGTTAGAATTGGGGAATGGGCGACTTTTTGGATTTTTTAAATTGGGGACTTCTCTGACTGAATTCAAGATGAGTAGACAGAGCTTGGAAACTAATAGAGGAAGTGGAGGAAAACCGGGAAGGTATAAGGCTTAGGAAATCGAGGATGGGAACTTCTTTGAGAATTTTGATAAAGAAGAGGGAGTTTGGAAACCGAGGAGGCAAAGAGACAACTGTGTAAGGATGAAGATGTCAGGTGATAAAAAAAGGGATCTTTTTGAGCTTTTTCCAAAGCTTCTGTACTGAGACACTTTCAAGCAAAATAAAAACAGATAGCTAGTAAAGTCATAACTAAAAGAGAGAACTAATTGTGCTGTATTTGAAATCATATATTAACCTGTGTTGCATGTCTTGGTTAGCTTGGATTGGTTAGGTGTGATCTGTCTTGGGATTCTAGATATGCTAACGTCATCTAGATGTGTAAGGATACATGGTCTAGATTCTAGTGAGATACAATACAACAATGTCTTTTAATAGCAGAATTTCACAAAGATGCTGAATTGATAGTTCTAAAATGCTGTCTAAGGCGAGTAATATAAAGGAAAATCTGGCTTGCATCATCACAATTAACAAACTTTGCCTCCAGTATCACCACTATTAGAAGTTAAACAGTTTGACATTGATTTCCTTTCCTGTTCTTGTTTTTGAGAAATATGTCTATCGTTGAAGCACAATGTGAAGTGGTGAAAGGCTTCTTGAAGCATGGATAAATTTCATTTTTTTTAAAAAAAAAGTCTTACGGATATCTGTAGACACGATCAGAATGCCCTAAAGTGGTTATGTTATCAATCATGGCACGCAACCTTGTTTTGCCTCCTAGAAGATTGAAAGTTTAGACGCATACTTGGTCCCAATTTACAATGTTTGGCTTGTGTCCAGAAAAATAAATTAACAATTGAGTCTTTTTCCTTTTGTAAGCAAAAATAGCAATTATAACTTTGCTTCATTATGTTTGATCTCTCTTCTTTCTTAAATGACCATCTATAGTCTTTACAAGTTCTTCTCTTTGCAATTTATTGACAGTGATGCATCACCTCTTCCTGATGTTGGTCAGTGGTTGGTGCTGTCATTGAATGAGAAACTACCTCAAACAGTGGTTAATATATTGAGAGCTCGTATAATTGGATTACATCATTTTCTGATGCTGTTTATCATGCTTGCTTTCTCTGTA